GTGCGAGGGCGCGTACGTGCGTAGCGTGTGTCTGACCCATCGAGCTGAGGTTCCTTCGTTCGCGATACGCTGGAAGTCGAGGGGCGGCCGCTAAAGATCACTTCGTTTATCCAAGTAATGGACGATAGTAATGATGAATGGATGTGAAATAAGGTGGTAGAAAATTACCACGCGTTTTATCTAGAATCAATTGCATCATTCTCGATAGCGTAATGAGTCGTTTATGTATCGCGTACCGGTTCACTTTCTTATTTATTTGGATATAAAACTTGTATAATAAACTTAACGAGTAAATAATTGAATGTAAAATATACAAAATTACGTTATATGCAGCGAAACAAGGATGCATATAACGAAAGAATTAAGAAATCGAGTATCCTAAATTGCAACGTATCCAAATTGCTGGTATAATTATGTCGCGCTCGCTACCGAGTTGCACCTGTAACTTGTCGAAACGCATAATGTCTCGCAGAAATATTTAAACTTAATTTGCCGACCTAATATCTCGGGCATATGCCAGAGGCCATTTTATCAGCCTTCGAAACTCGACATGTGTCAGAATGAGCTCGATAAATCAATTAACGAAATTTCACAAGAAGTCAAAATCAATGGTTTATTAAAATTAATTTTGTTTTTTATCTCGATTATCATAGTCGGAATTTTTTAAAAAAGTTAATATTAACAGCATTTGCGAAAATTATTTTTTAATATTATTAATTGTTAATATTAAATTTCAATAAATTGAGAAATAACTGCAATGTAAAATTGCAATGTAATTATTAGAAATCCAATACGAGCTATATATATTTTTTGCAGATAAATTTTAATTCCATGACCAACGACCAACATGAAATAACCGATTGTCGACGAGATTCGCATAGGGGGTGGCTCCCTAATCTGGATATTTGCCAACTGCCCTAATTCAAGGGTTCACCTTCCTAATACCATACGACATTCGGCATACACCGAGGCAGCGATTACGCGTCATCTGCGCTTCCTCCTTTTCAATCTTCGACTTTATCCATATTCCGACTCGTGAGTGTTTACGTAAAATGTTAGAATAAAATTAGAACTTATTTCATTATTTTTATCTACTATTATATGACTGAAACTTAATAACACTCGCCCTATTACAAATTAAGTAAAATAAAAAATATGTTTTTATCATCTAACAGCATCGTTATTATAGATTAATTCACGTGATTTTAAATATAATCCTCTTCGATGTTCTTTTTTATTTTCCAGAGAAAGGTTCGATACGTAAAATTGTCTGTCGTATCGAGATGACAAAAATCTAAAAATATAATTGTCCATTCCGTTTGTCATTTCGATACAAGACTGCGCACTTACACACGCACACACGTACACTTGCGCCGCAATTTCTTCGACATCCTATCTCGGCGAACTCGTGCTACGCAAAAGTCTCTGACGTCACTCGTTGTGGAACTCGTTGTAGATGGATGAGGTGTGGCGAACCCCCGTTTCTCTCTCCCTCTCTCTC